GTTAAAAATGTATATAAGTGGTTATTTGATTAATATTATATAAAATGAATAAATAATAAAGAGCACCAACAGCGCCTTAGCTATTGTAGACCGAGAAAATTAAAAAAAAAAAAAAAAAAGTCAGAAGTTTCAAGATGTATTTAGATTTTTGCATTCTAATAATAGAAGTTTTATATAGTTTAATATACAAAGCAGCTTAAGAATCAACCAAATTTAGATTTTAAAAACTCTTGTTTCAGAGTTGTTAAATATACAGTCAGACCCCTCTAAATATACCTTCTCTAAATGCAGCACCTCTCTAAATGTATGATATAAGCCCGGGCTCATAGTAGAACTTATAGATAAATACACATTCTTTATTCTGTAAGTGCATGCTAACTGTCTGGCCTACTTATAAAAACTCTTTCTATAAATATATTCATGTGATTACTAGCCAATTAAATTTATTATTTCAAGGTTACTAAAGCCACATTATTATATGCTAACAATAATATTGCAATTTTAATAGTGTTCTCTAATTGCAGCTTTTCTTAAATGCTTGCTCTAGAGGTGGTCCCAGCGACGTGCATTTAGAAAGGTCTAACTATATTAATTAAAGATATAAATAGCTATACAACATGCAATCATTAGCTTATTTAGATCTTAATTAATATAAGATACTTAAATCTAAATTACAGAATCTTTTAAACTAAAAAATTACACAGAACTAGAACAATTTTTTTGTATAAAAAAGCAACAAAAAAAAACTAGAATAACTATAAAGATAGGCTTGACTTCTTACTTCAAAAAGAAAACTTAGCTACAAAATTCAGATTACAAAGTTTTAATAAAATATAGGATATATTTTAGAAATATTTAATTTGGATAGCAAATAAAAATATTCTAAAAAAGAAAGTTCTAATAGAAGCTAATATAAGAAAAAAAAAAACAAAAAAAAAAAAACAAAATTATATTAAAATATAATTACTTTAAGCAAAATTTTAAAAACTTAGAAGAAGTTTAAATAATAATTTCTCTAATCTTGATTTAAGTAGTATTAATCAAGATATTAAAAAAATTAATTTAACTTATTAGATAAATATACTACAAGTTAAAAAGAATTCTAAAAACCTAGTAAAAAATATAAAAAAATAGTAAAAAATCTTAAACTTGAAGTAGACAAATAAAAAAATTAGAAAAACAAGAATAGAAATTGATAAAAAGATAAAATAAAAATATACAATAATTAAAGCTAAACAAAAAAGAATAATACACAGTCTACTAAACAAACTTTGAAAAAAAATACAAATTAATTATATATATTTCAAACTATCAAACAACAAAAAAAAAAAACTTATAGTAAACTCAGAAAAAATTCTAAATAAAACAAAAAAAGATTTTTAATATTAATTTCAAAGAAGATCTGTGCAGGTTAAAAACCTTTCACCAGAATAGAAAGAAATTTATAGCTTTAAAATAAATATAAAAGAATTATGATATAAAGAACTAGTATTACTAATAATGCTAAATAGATGAATTCAGACTCTTAATATTACTAAAAATAACTTAGCACCAGGTATCTCTGAAATTAATTATTTTTTAATTAAAAAGTCAAGTACAAAGTTACAAAAAATTTTTTATAATTTTGCAAGTAACTAAATATTTTATAACTACTGTAATTCCAATATATCCATTTTTTGACTGTGCTGTTCACAAATCAGTTGTTAATGAACTATAAAAAAGTGTCTCTAAAAGTTTATCCATAAGCTGTTGCTTTGTATACATGAATGCTTATAACAACAAAATTTTTATAGCTTTTTTAGATGGAAGTTTATAATTAGGAATTGCTTCCTTCATTAATTCAATAAATCCATCATCCGCAATTACTGAAAGAGGTTGTTGATTCTTATATATAAAGGATATGATCTTATTATTCAAGATTCACTTACGAATAAAACTTATTTGATTATGTTCAATATTTAATATATTATTAATGTTGTCTTTAGTAATACTATGTGCCATTTTAAAATGATACCAAAAATTCCCTGTTGACTTTGCAGTATTGAGATTTACCTCTTTTCCACATCATTCATATCTATTTTTACCAAGTATATTTATTTTACATCTTCCAACTTGTTTGATTTTGTCCTTTTTAAAATAAAGCCACACCTTACTTATCAAATTTTCTTCATTGGATTCATCAGATTTATTGGAAGAAACTAATACTAAAAGTAAAGTATCAACCTTTCTTTTTTTTGAATTTTAAGAATTATTGCTTAAGTCACTTTCGTGAATTTCATCCATAGTTAATAAGAATAAAACAAAAAAAATTTTTTTTATGTTTAATTTTTTTATATTTAGTTTTTTATTTTTATTTAAATATCGTATATTTTATTTAATATATTAAACTTTTTTTAATTTATCTATTTGACTTCATTATTATTATTATATCGTCATTAATTAATTATCGGATAACCGGATAATCCGGTCTAATTATCTGAAATCAAAATTTATCTGAATAATTATATCATATTCGGATTATTCTGATCGGTCAGATAAAAAGTTCTATCTCTAAAAGAGAGTGTGCACTTAGAGAATTTTGGGTTAATATTATACAAATTTTATAATTGTCCAATAAAAAAATAACTTTCGATTTAATAATGAAACCCGTTAGTTATTTATGTATTCTGCACAAAAGATAAATCAAGTTTATTTTTTATATTATTAATTGTTCATTATGGGATTTTTGTTATTATTTTTGGGCACAACTTAATTCAAACTTAGTAGGGAAATAGCCTTTATTCCTCATTACAGGAAAATATTTTCATTATTTCCTACTTTGTGGGAATAAATAGTATATATATTCACATATCCTATTGGACAACTTCTTTTAGTATAGCATAAAAAAGCCCTTGGTTTAATCATTAGAAATTTCAAAAATAACTATTTAAAAAAAAACTTTAAAAAATCAAATTTTAAAAAAATCGAATTTTTAAAAAATCAAAATTTAAAAGATTAAACTTTTAAAAAATCAAACTTAAAAAAATTTTAAAACTTAAAAATATAAAATTTAAAAATTTTTTAAAAAAAAAATATATTTAAAAATTTAAAATTTTTTTAAAACTTAAAAAAATTTAAAAAAATTTTAAAAATTTAATTTTTTATAAAAAAAAAATAAAAAATCGATATGTTTCATGCTTCATACTTTATACCTTGCCAGCTTGCAATGTTGTTGCAACTATGCTAAATACAATTACTAACAATTTTTCGCATACTATTAGCTAAAGAAATATAGATAATTTTTCTTACCTACTTCAATCATTCAAAAGAATCCATTAAATTACATCCTTATATTTTAAAATAATCATCTAAGCAGGTTTGCTAAACAAAACCTGATATTATCCTTCAAATAAATTTTTCAAGAAAATTAATTGTTTTTAATTGCTCATCTGAATTTTCTGTTAAAACAAAACATTTAAACATTTTCTAAGCTATACAACGCAGAACTCCCGCTAATAGTTGCAAGTTCTACACTATCATCTTTTTTTTCATCCATCATTT